GTTGTGTGATCAGATTTCCATTGTGTTTTGCTGCAAAACACAAGCGAGTTCTGGTTTGGGAAGATGTTGTGTGATCAGATGTCCATGGTGTTTGTGTGATCAGAATTCCATGGTGATTTGCTGCCAGGTTTGGGAAGATGTTGTGTGATAAGGGTTCCATGATTAAAAAAACACAAGTTAATTCTGGTTTGGGTATAGATGTGTGATCAGAATTGCATGGTGTTTTGCTGTGCAAGGGAATGTTTGATTGGGAAGAATATGTTTAGACATCCTGGGTGAAAGATGTATTGCCATCATAATGCCATTGTGTTTTGGTGCTCCCACCCACTGAGTCAGAATTCCACGTTTTTTCTTAATGTGAAGCTGCCAAGGAACACAATTTCATTGTTGGAGTTCTTTGACTATAAACACATGAGCACTCCTGGATGCACAGTCAAACTCAGTCACATATATGAACTAGATCTCCAAGTTTTTTTGCCGGGCTTACTTCAATCAAAGCCTCTGGGTTAATGAAACTTGGGTTTCACAGGTGCGTTGGCTTTGTGTCTCACAGCTGCTGAAAGCCAGCAGTGGACAGATAACCAAGGTTGCGCCAAACATAAAGATACCTTTCAACCTCAAACAAGCACAGAGACCTTTCAACCTCAGACAAGTCAATGGTGCCACTTCATTTGCTTCAACATTGAAAACCCACTCTGTACGCCACTCTTGGCGAATGTGAGCCATGGAGAATGGATATTTCTGGGCTGTGCGACAGTTTCAGAACAGCAGGTGCCTCCCCTGCCTCTCTGTTTTTTTGCGCCTTGCAACTTTTAACCTTCTCTTTATGTTTTTCGGTTCAGTTGTGGATCAAGCCTGGAGAGACCCTGCATCTGAAGATGCTGGATGGACATCCATGTGGCGCCACTGCTTTTGCCACAGGGCTTGCAAAGTTTGAGCGCCTGAAGAATGCCACTCAGTCCCAGCTTGAATCCGCTTTTGCTTGTGTTTTTGTTTGTGGGGGGCTGTGAGCAGTTTCTTTCTCTTCAGTTTTTTCTGGAATCCATGTTTGGTCTTTTAACTAGAGGCTGGTCTATCCCTCATCCTTGATCACAGTGGCAATGTATTCAAGAGGAGGGGTTCTTCAAAGGTTACTTTGCGTGATGTGGAGAGCAACAGGGAAGAAACTGAATGCAAAAAGTCTAAGAGGTTTTCTTGTTTACTTTTTGTTTTGTTTGTTTTTGTTTTTCATTAGGGTGTATTCTTCTTTGCGGCAACGTCCTCCAAGGTAGTGTGCGCAGCGCTCCGTGCAGTGAAAGGGCGAGGGTATGTGCCTGGAAAGATGATGGCTGATGGCATTCTCCTCTTCTATAAGGAGAACTCTCTCTTGCCCAAAGGTCTGGAGATGTCAGTGCCAGCGGTTCAGGATTGGGGGATGAAGAATGGTGTGGCAGTGGCGCGGCTGGTTGCTCAGATTGATTCAGAAAGTGTTTTTTTTTTGTGGTTGTCCAACCGTTGTGGACACAGTCTGAAGATCCCTGTGTCCAGGCAATGCGGTATCGTTCTGTGGCAACGCGATCAGAGTCCTCCAAGTCCAAGAACATGCAGTGGATCCGTGAGCACTTGAGGGGTTATGTGGATTCTTGGTTTAGATATTTTGTATCTTTTTATTGCTATATTTTATATTTTATATTATGTGTTCAGAAAATGGATAAAATATATGTGTTCAGAAAATGGCAACCCTCCAGATGGACCCCACTGCAGGATTGGAAGGGCATGCTTGCAGATGCGGAGACTTGGCGAGATGATGGGAGCTCTACAACTTCGCCCTCAGCCTGTGACTCCTCCAAAGCACTTGCAGATGCCATTGCAATTGTGAAGGCGAGGTCAAATCCTTCACCTCAGAGCCTAGCAGATGCCATCGCGCTGGTGAAGGCAAAGACTCAGGGCAACGGCTCAGCTTCTTCTCAGAAGGAACCTGGACCTTTGGCAAAAAAAAAGGCTGAGAAGAAAAGTGCCACTCTACCTTTTGAGGTTGGGAGTTTTGAGTTTTGGGGGTTGGATGTTTGTTTTTGGTGTAGGAAAGATAGACCCAAACACGTTTACTACCCTGACCCCTGGGAGGTTTTGCAAACGTTGGTCAAGATGCCATGCCCGCCACCTGTTGTGGCTACCCAAGAGGAACCTGAGGCCAAGCCAGGCA